GCAGGCCTGGTTGCCCCCAACTGCCCTACCCTACTGGGCATCTTGTAACAATGTGAGGGCAGTCATATTGTGACCACATGGGGGCAGCCATCTTTTGATATGAGGGTGTGAAGGTCAATTTGCATATTATCTCTTTGTTATATAGGATTTTCCATACGAACAACTACAAACCTACTTTTGTCCCAACTCCCCTTATCAGTGGTAAAAATTAAAGAGCACTGAAAAGTACACTTTGAAGAAATAAAAAACTGGATAGAAAATTATCATGATCATGAGAAATTTCAATAACAAAACATATCTACACTAATAAAATATAAAAATGCTAATTGTCATACCTTTGCTACACCCACAGCCAATCAAAGTGAGTATGCAAATTAACCCAACAAATATGGAGGTTAATTTGCATATGTTGAGGGAAGGTGGAGAGAAGGCTGAAGACAGCATAGAAGGGAGAGGGAGGAAAAGTGGAAAGCAAGGTGGCTGCCAGAGGGAAAGCAAGGGTGGGGCAGGCGGGCAGTGGCAGCCGCTTGCAGGAATCTACCTGCAACGGGTCCCTAGTCAAAAAATAAAGACTGAAATCATTAAAATTTCATGGAAAACAGAAAGGATTAACCAAAGACTAATGACCAGTACAGTACAGTGTTATGCATTATTTAAACTTTTATAACCAAAGAGACAGTAGTGAAACATTTTTAATAGTTTCATATATATATATGAAACTTTAATATATAAATATATATATGCTAATTAGTGTATATATATATATATATATATATATATACACACACACACACACACACACACACACACTAATATAAGAATTTATTGTGCTAAATTAATAAGAAACTGACAATGTACCAAGATGTACAAATGCCATTCCATATATTTTATCATCTTAATAATTTGGAGGTAAAGTAGTGTAAAAGTAAAAATCCTATTAAAATAATGGCAGGAGAAAATTTTTAATAGAAATACGGTTATGTAATAGTGATACTAATAGACTTAAACATCATAAAAAAGTCTATTTTATCTATTGCAACTATCTAAATTTCCATTTAAGAGATATATTGTTTTCGAGGAAATAAAGATTAAGACATTTTTTTCTCTCTTTTATTTAAAAATTCTTTACCTAATACATTTTCACAGGGACTGGCAGGAAGAAGGAATTCTTAAGTATTGCTTTATATTCAAATATATTAATTATCATATAAGCACAGAATTTCAGAGCTAAACTGTTACAGTCTGTACATTTTATAGATGAAGAAATGAAGAACCAAAGAAATACTTAGTGGCTTATTTCAATCAGAGACCACTTCTAACCCACTGGGATGTCTCTGAGAAGAACATATAAGTAGCAAAGCTCATGTTATTGTTTCATGAAAAATGGGTGCTTGCATTTTGGACACTTGGCAAGGAAACAAGTGGGAATTTAAAGTCACTTAAAAAGTTTATTTAAATATAGCATAAATTAGAATATGAATCTGTATATGCAACAAGAAGAATAAAATAGCTATGAATTTAAAAGATATTTGCTTACATTGGTAAAATATAAAATATAAAACCAGTCAAATCTGAAAGGCTAGGGGAAAAAAAACACATAAGAATACATTTTCAGCCAAAACCGGTTTGGCTCAGTGGTAGAGCGTCGGTCTGCGGACTGAAAGGTCCCAGGTTCGATTCTGGTCAAGGGCATGTACCTTGGTTGCGAGCACATCCCCAGTAGGGGGTGTGCAAGAGGCAGCTGGTCGATGTTTCTCTCTCATTGACGTTTCTAGCTCTCTAGCTCTCTCCCTTCCTCTCTGTAAAAAATCAATAAAATATATTTGAAAAAAAATACATTTTCATTTCCTTACTGAACATTTTCTAAGCCCTATTGAGCCAAACACTATATTAGACACTGGGTAAATAAGATAAAAAAGAAAGGAAAAGACTAATAACCTTAAAGAAGCCCATAATTTTTATAAGATAAAAACATAATTAGGTACGGTACTCAGTAAGGTGGTAACTACGTTATCTAGTACAAAATTCGTGGACTCGGGTGGGGACATACCTCAGTCCAGGAGCCCTCGGGAGTATAAGCCATGATATTTTAATTGACTTTTAATATCATGGCCATGTATTATTATATGAATGTTACTTGGAGAATATATAATTTTTCTATAATATTACCTCCTTTATTTCGAATATATTAAAAGAAAGAGAAAAGAACTGTAAGAAATAAGGTAGCAAAAATTCTCAAAAAACTATTAAATCCAAAGGTATGTTAAAAATTATATATATCATGATCAAGTAGCATTTATCCCAGAAAGCAAGAATGGATCAACATGAGGAAATTATGTAACTTACTACATGAATGTCATAAAAAAGAAAAAAATGGCATGATACTCTCAACAGAAAAGCATAGATAACAGGTAACAGAAAAGGCATTTGCTAACTCCCAAAATCTACTTCTGATTGAAAAATGAAAAATAAACCTTTGTAAAAACAAAAATTTCTTTTTAAAAAAAATATATATTTTACTGATTTTTTACAGAGAGTAAGGGAAAGGGATGGAGAGCTAGAAACATCGATGAGAGAGAAATATAGACCAGCTGCCTCCTGCACACCCCCCACAGGATGTGCCCGCAACCAATGTACATGCCCTTGACCAGAATCAAACCTGGGACCCTTCAGTCCCGACTGACGCTCTATCCACTGAGCCAAACCGGTTTTGGCAAAACAAAAATTTCTTAACATGATAAAAGATATCTAACAGAAATCTACCAAAAACATACTTAACAGAGAAAATTTAGCCACATTCCCTTTGAGATTGAAAATAAATGATAAATGTTTTGTTTCCCTCCATCCAATGAGAGTCATTGTTTAAACCAGTAATAGAGGTCCTGGCCATTATATAAAATTAGACAATTATTAGAACTAACAGTGTTCATCAAGGTTGTGAACCAATAAAATAATCAACAGTATGACAGCACACTAGAAGTAGCAAATTTTTTTACAGTCACTGTTTACTATAAAAATGAAAAATATTAAATATTTAGAAATTGGATTAACAACAATTAAAAATTTAAACTCAATTATGGAGGAGAAAAAGACCTGAAAAGAGCTACCCCATATTCATAAGATAATTTAACACTGTAAAAACATCTATTTTCACCAAATTCAAATCAATTCCAAATAAATGCCCAACAGAATTTTTGGATAATATGACAAACTGATTCTAAACCTTATATGTTAAACCAAATATCCATGAATATTTAAGAAAATCCTGGCAAAGAGCAGAGAGTCTTGCGTTATCAGATATCACTTACAAAATCATTATAATAATAAGTGTGGGTGATAGAATGGGAATAGACTAATAAATCAACTGACTATACGAGACATCACAGAGACTCACCTGTCAGGCCACTTCTATATACCACCAAATCTCAATTATGCATGGGTCTGAACCATGAGTTAAACAGAACGAAAATTATTGTAGTTACTGTTATATTTAGACTTAAAAGATCTAACTTCCATATTTCCTAAGATAGTATTTATTTCAATTTCTGTCCCCAGTGTCTACCTCTCCTCCATCTCTTCCTCATTAGACCACAGATTTCCCCCCTCTATCTGTTGTGGCAAGGACAGCTGTTAGTGCTTGCAAATATCACATGACCTCACTTATATGTGGATTCTAATGAACAAAATAAACAGACAAACAAAATGGGTCCAGAGGAATGGATTCATGGAACAGACTGACAGATTTCGGGGCGGGGTTGGGGGAAGGGCTAACAATTAACCAAAAACCATGTGCATAAATTTATAGCCCATGGACACAGACAATAGTGCAGTGAAGACTTGGGGTGGGATAAGGACTGGGTAGAGGGAGCCAAACGGGGAAAGAATAGGGAACATCTGTAATACTGTCGACAATAAATAAAATTTAAAAATGTTAAATGTAACATATGCTGAGGGCTAGCACATGAAATACAAACATTTCCTGTAAAGTAGTGGTTCTCACACCTGAACATGCCTTAGTCACTTGGAGAGCTTGTTAAAGCACAAAGTGCTGGATTGCATTCCCAGAGTTTCTAATCAGTACATGTGGGGTGAGTGACATTGCTAACAACTTTCTGCGGAGTGCAAATGCTCCTGACCACCAGGCACATCTGAGAAGCACTGCCTATAGAGCACAGGTTCTCAAGTGAAGGCATTGTTGTTCTCCAGGGGAAACTACAGTGAATGGATTGTTTTTGGTTGTCACAACCTAGAGGGATGGAAAGGAGAGGTAACAACGGCATCTAGTAAGAACAAACCAAGGACATGCTGATAAATATCCTATCATGCACAGGACAGCTCCCCACAGCAAAGAATTATCTTATCAAAAACATCAATAGTTGAGAGAGAAACTCTGCCACGGTGTAAAACAAAACTTACTCCAAATGTTTGATTTGACTACTAAGTTATTAAGTCCTTTAATGAGTTTTAGAAATGTGATGTGGAATAAATATTCAAAGAATTATATTTTTCTTCAAGTAGAGATAACTTTGAATTTTATTCCTCTATAGCAAGATTAAGTTTTAGAAATACTAACACTTAAAGGTATACAGGCTTACAGTAAGAAATAAACATTTATATAATATTATTGGTAGATTTATAGTAAAGAAACAAATTAATATTCACTTTGTAAGATAATTATATTACAGGCATTCTTGAAAAATAATAAACTATGTTTATTTCTTATACTGTGTGAAAAAGCAAAAAACTGTTCATTTCACTATTTTATATATCCAGTATAAATGAGATCTTTTGTAACAGTTTATTTAAAAAAAAAAAAAAAAAACAGTGATTGCAGGAATAATTAATACTAAGTAAATGTGTCTGAGAAAAATGTACTTTATAGATACATCCATGTACGTACGTGTACATACATATATACCACACCACCACCACTACCCACACCACACATACACACACGTACACACACACACACATACACACACACACACAAATAAACTTACTCCAGTAGGCTGAAAAATAAGTCCATCCATTTCATGGCTAACTTCTTTTGCAAAATTTCCTTCAAGTAGCTATAAAATAAATATAAGTATTTTCAGAAATACAATAATCAATACAATAATCACTTTAAAGGTATTTCAAATTTCTGTAAACTTTATAAAAACTTTTCTTAAGTTTTAAGAACTAAACTGCAAAATGGGAGAGAGGGGTGGTCCAGAGGAATAGAGGTTAATACATTATAAGGTGTGTTTTTTAATGTGAAGATTTCCATTCTATGGCAGGCTAGATACTTTGGATAACAGTCCTAACTACAACAACCAAAATGATGGATAAAATAATTTAAAACATTTTTAAATGCACTGCTGAGTCAAGATGAAAGGAATTTTAATATGGAAAATTCAATGTGGATTTAAAGTATTGGTCTCACTGACAAAATAAAGGACAAACTGTGGGAAATAATAAATAAAGGGAATAAAAAATAAACATATAGAACAAAGGAGACAGCAGAGAAACTTGCTTGGGGATGGAGTGGGTGTGAGAATCCCCTGAAAATCTGTAACCACAGCTAACTCAGACATAGGAAACACAATCTGAAAATACATCACTTTCTGCTTGAGGTGTTTTTCCAAAACCCTCAAGCAGAAAAAATTTTAGTCTTATAGTTTTGTCTTACTGTTTCTTTTCTTTTTTGGTCTTTTCTATATTTTTTCAAGCAAAAAACTGCAGTACAAGGGATACATAGTACAAAACACAAATGGTAGTTTTTCAAAGCCTTATCTGCTAAAGAGCAGAGTTATAAGATCCAATGTTCTCTAATTAGTTCTGAGCAAGTAGTTTTAAATTGTTTCTTTTCAAGGATTTTTATTATTTTGAAGAACTAAACATGTGAATCATGGCCAGAAGTCCTAATACTGATTTCTACATTTAAATGTATGCTTAAAATTTGTTAAAGAGAACAAAATATACTTTCACAGAGCCAGAATAGGACAGTTCTGAAATTCATATATGTGTCTCTAAATTTTAGGATTATGTTGTGGGTTATCCAATCACAATCTTTTAACATAATCACATCCTCTTAAAACCATTACATTCACTTATAGGAAGATTCACATTCCAAAAGCAACAACCGAAATTTCAAGTGTATTTCACATGCAACAAGATGAGTGTTTCTCCTCCCCAACTGTGGCCTCTACGTTCTCTATTTTAAATTCCTTCAAAATCTGTAATTTCTCTAAACTGGGGGCAGTGAGCAAAATTAGAGTGATCCTAGTTCCTAACTGCATAAAGATCAATTAGAGTTTGAATATCTACATTCCCTTAAAACTGTAATGCTCCTTGATCAAATTCATTAGGACAGAAATTAGAGAGGCTAGGGTGAGGGTGAATGAGGAGTTAGTGTTTAATGGGTACAGAGTTTCAGTTTAGAAAGGTGAAAAGCAACCTGGAGGTGGATGACAATAATGGTTACAGGACAATATAAATACATTTATTGCCACTGAAATGTATGTTTAAAATTGGTTACAATGGTCCATTATATGCTATGTATATTTTGCCTCAACTTAAAAAATATGTATACAACTCTTGATATTTCCTGTTTTGTTTTGTTCTTTCCTCTCAGTAGAACACTATGAAAGTTGAGAGCCTGCCAACTGGATCCCTTAGAACCATATCGTCAAGAGTTTAGCCAAATGGGGAGAAACCAAGATGGCGGCATAGGGTAGACACCCGAATGCAGCCTACCACAACAAATTTGAATTTAGAACTGAAAAACTGAAAACGCTGAACCTCAGGAACTGTGAAGGTACGGAGAACTGTGTGCGCGAAAAGGCGCTGGCTTAATCCCGGTGCGGAGAGGAAGGGCCAGACCGAGATTGCTGCTGGCTTACTCCCTGCACACAGAGAGGGCAGGCCGGGCTGAGTTCGCTACTGGCTTACTCCTGGCGCGGAGAGGGCGAACAGCTAACGCGGCTCGCTTTCTTGTCCGAGAGGAAAACAGAATCACCCTATTGCTCTGATAAACGGCCCCAGACAGGGAGAGGCCAGACTGTCAGGCAGTGGGCAGAGATCTCTTGGAGGTGTGTGAAGCCAGAGGCCATTACTGCGGGACTTGGGGAGGAGCCGAAGGGAAAACAAAGTTTGTCTGCACCAACCCGAGACTCCGCCCTACCTGTGGCTGAGCACAGAAGCTCTCCCAGAGGCTGGCTTTCTCTAAGGAGGGACTTGCAGGAATCCAAAGCTTGTCTGCGCCTTTACCAAAGAGGTGTGCGCGCGCCTGCAACTAATCTTCCAAAACTCTCCACGAACAGGACTTTTCTAAGGCGAGACTGACAGGGAACCAAAGATTGTCTGCGCCACCCCGAGACCCCGCCCTATTCAAGCAGAGTACAGAAACCCTCCTAGCTGAGTCAATTGGCTTGGAGATCAACGCTTCCCAGTGATACCAACAATAAGCAAGGCTTAACAACAAGACTGCACACACAGCCCACAAAGGGCTACACCAAGACTGTCCACTGCAGGTAACTGGGAAGGCTGTGCTACTGGGCTCTACCAGAACACCTAGCACACAAAGCTATTCCATCAAATCAGGGAAACAACTAAAATGCAGACAAGAAGAAGGACACAAAGGAAGGAGATGGAGGAAAAGAAAAGACTGGACATTGAGTTCAAAACTACATTTATAAGGTTATTCAACAATATCCTAAAAAAGGCCGATAAAATAAATGAGACCTATGAGGATATGAAAAGGGAGCAACTAGAAATAATAAGGGATCAATAAGAAATGAAGAAAACATTGTCTGAAATAAAAAATATTATACAAAGTCCTAAAAACAGACTGGAAGATCGCAAGAATCAAGACAAAGATTTAGAACACAAAGAGCCAGAGGACACTCCTCTGCAGAAGGGAGAAGATAAAAGAATCCAGAAAGTTGAAGATAGTGTAAGAAACCTCTGGGACAATTTCAAGCGAACCAACATCAGAATTATGGGGATTCCAGAAGAGAGAGACCAAGATACCAAAAGAGTACTAGAAGAAATAGTGACAGAAAACTTCCCCCACCTGGGGAAAGAAATAGACTTACAAGTCCAGGAAGCCCGCAGAACCCCAAACAAAAGGAATCCAAGGAGGACCACACCAAGACATATCATAATTAAAATTCCAAGAGCAAAAGACAAAGAGAGAATATTAAAAGCAGCAAGAGAAAAGCAGGTAGTGACCTATAAAGGAGCACCCATAAGATTGTCAGCTGATTTCTCAACAGAAACCATGCAGGCCAGACGGGAATGGCAAGAAATATTCAAGGTGATGAATAACAAGAACCTACAGCCAAAAATAATCTACCCAGCAAAGCTATCACTCAGAATCAAAGGACAGATAAAGAGCTTCACAAAAAAAAAAAAAAGCTAAAAGAGTTCATCACCATCAAACCAGAATTATATGAATTGCTGAAGGAGGTTATTTAGGAAGAGGAAGAAGATAAAGATAAAAATTATGATCAACAAATACGTAGCTATCAACAAGTGAATCTAAAAACCAAGGGAATTTAAAAATCTGATGAACAATATTAACTGGTGAATATAATAGAATCAGAGGTATGGAAGGGGAGTGGACTGACGATTCTCAGGGAAAAGGGGAGTGGGGGTGCGGGAAGAGACTGAACAAAAACTGTGCACCTATGGATGAGGACAATGGGGGATGGGGAAAGGACAGAGGGTGGGGTGGGAACCTAGTGAAGGGGAGCAATTGAGGGGGGAAGAGGATCACATTTGTAATAATCTGAACAATAAAGATTTATTTAAAAAAAAAAAAAAAAGAGTTTAGCCAAATGGGCAAAAATTTCAGGATTGATCTGAAATTCATAGCTGATCATTATAAGGTGATTTTAAGATCTCCAATTTACTCAAAGGTTTAAATGACCTAAGCCTTCTGAGGAGGAACTCTGCCTAACTAAAAATTCAATATGGATTCAAAGCACTGATTTCTTATAAATTTCTTTCAAGAGGTGAAAATAAACTCCAACCATCAAAATGCCAAAAAAAAAAAAAATATCAGCTGACAGAGGATTAAAAAAAAAAAAAAGAAAGTAAATTATAAGCAATGGATTATCAGCAGATTGAATATAACAAAAGGAAAAGAAATCAATGAACTTGAAGAAAAAAATGTGTAGCACTTTTTCCAACTGAAATTAAAAAAAAAAAAAAAAAGGAAAAAGATACAACACTGAAAATCAAAAAGCAGGCATAAAGATGTCTTGAAAAAAACTTACAGAACACAGACAGAAAACCAGTGAAAATATGAACACTGAAAATATCAAACCTAATTGAAAATAATAACACATTCCATCCAACAATAGGAGAAACACTTTTTCCCCCAAGTGCATACAACACATTTATAGGTAGGTCAAAGTAATACAAAGAATGTCTTCTGACCACAATGAATTAAATTATATATCAGTAAGAGAAAGAAAGATATCTGGAAAGCTCTCCAATGTTTGGAAACTTGATAACAAATTTCTAAATAACCCACAAATAAAAGAAAAAAAAATCAAACGAAAAAATTTTAAGTATTTCCCTCCCTCTCTCCCTCCCCTCCCTCCCTCCCTCCCTGAAATCATTAAAAACAAATAAATGTTGAGTCTTTAAAAAAAAAGAAAGCAGTATGTCTAACTTAAAACTTTAAAGTAGGAATAGAGCCAGGGATAAGTTGTCAATGTCAAAGTGACTAAATCAGAATAAAGTCATTGAATAAAAAATTTCTCAGAAATGGAGAAGCCAGGGTTATAAGTAGGTCAAACCAAACATAGGGAAGTTGTATTAAACAAGGATGATGGGCAGCCCTTGAGAAAAAGAGTTTTAAATCAGGTGCAATCTCAAAGGAAGAAGTAGTTACCAAGGAGCCAAAAAGAGTTAGTTAAAGATTTCGTTTAAATACCATGGCTTGAAAGGTCAGGTTTTATTTCAATAATTTAAATACCAAATAATGTTAAAACTCACTTTGATATTTTTTTGTCTCTAATATTATATTCCAAAATAGACTGTCCAATACTTTTAAGCTACTCTGTGTTTTGCCTCT